AAAAAAAAAAAAAAAAAAAAAAAAAAAGAAAGGAATGAAGGGGAAATTAAAGAAGTCGACCTTCAATTTGTTTCTGGTCAGCCGTGATGATCCCGGCAAGTGAATTCTGAAAATTAGTCGGGCGTCTCCTCAAGCGTTTGTTCGCGAGGCTGAGAGGCGACCCCAATTGGCGCAAATACTTGTTCGAGTGAGGCGGCGGGGCAGGTGGGCCTCCAGCCATGGGCTGGGCCTTGGGCCCACTCTTGATATGATCCTTCATGCTGTGGCTGTGGGCCAGGGCACTTGGGGTGAGGCCGTCACTGTCTGGCCTGTCCACGTCAGCCCCATGCTCCATCAGGAAACGCACGATCTCAACCTTATCCTCAGATACGGCTTTGTGCAGTGCCGTGTTCCCTACGGAGTTTGGCAGAGCTATGTTCCCGCCAAACCTCACAATCTCCTTGAGAAGGTCTATGTTGTTCTCCTCGGTTGCAAAGCACGCAAACTGTCCCACATCGCCTGAGGACAGTGTAGCCCCATTTTCCACCAGCACTTTTATTACAGCCTCATGTTTTCCCAATATAGCATCCCACAGCGGAACATTTCCTTCCAGGTCTGCATTTAGTTGAGTTTAAGGTATATACATATGAAAAATTAAAATAAGCCTGAATAATTAAATAAAAGCAAAATTACATTTTAGTCCTTCTCAAGATTCCAATTTTTTGTCGTTTGATCCTATAATTTAGTATTTTGCTGCAATTTCAGTCATTTGGGATTGAAATTGCAACAAAATTTAAAATTAAACTGTTAATCAAAATTCCATCCAAAAAGATTTTTTATTAACAATTTAAGTCCTGTAATTTTAAATTTTGTTGTATTTTCAGTCCCAAAGGACTGAAATTGCGTTGAGTTTTAAAATCATAGGACCAAATAGCAAAAATGTTCAATTCTTAGGACTAAAAACACCACTGGATCAAACCAACAGGACTAAAATTACAATTTTGCCTTAAATAAACAAAGAAAAATTAGGTAGACCACCTTTTCCATTGGGATCTGCTCCATAATCTAGAAGCAAAAGCACACATTCTAAAGATCCTTTAGCCGCCGCCAAATGCTATATCGATGTTCAAACAAAAAGGACATCTCAGTTTATACAATTGTAGAGTATACAATATAAATGTATAATTAATTATAAGAGAAAGAAGATACCAAGGCATTTCGTCCATTGCTATCGAGCTCGTTTGGATCCATCCCTCTCCTTAACAAATGGTGCATCAAAAGATCATAACCTCGAGTGGCCGCAAAGCATAAGCTGAGAGGCATGTCCATTCTTCCATGAGCTAGCATGTGCTCTGTGAAGGACAGTATTTCTTGCAGCATTGGGTCTTTGTACTCTTTCAGATGCTGTTTGTCGAAATTCAGATCAAACAATTTCTTACAACGTAAGTAGGTAAAAAGTTTTATTTACCTCGAGGAGATTGTTCATGATCACGGTTGCATCTGCAACGTTAGCCTGAAGAATATTGAAGAGTGAAGTCCGGTTTAACCGTAATAGTTGACTCAGTCGCTTTGTACGGACAGTAAAAAGTTGTGGCCTGTAGCAAAGCACGCCTATTTCACCACAGACATGCCCTGTCTTCAGCTCCCCAATTACCTAAAAATTACATTTTAAGACATTAATGTAAGAAAAAATTATTTGCAGCAGACAAGAAGATGATAAAAAATAAAATTTGATTTTTTACCCTTTCAGATCCATTTCTTTTAGAAATAAGATCCTGCCATCAACAAAGTAGTTTTAGAGTTACTAATTCAGATAATANAAAAAAAAAAAAAAAAAAAAGGCAAATGAGTATAGCTCGGCAAATTCAGAGAGTGAGAGATACCACAGCCCCATTAACTAGAATGTACAAATCTGTAGGTGCTTCATTCTCTAAAATTATATCTTCTCTTAGAGGGAAATATTCAGGCCTCATCTCTGATACCTGATGTTTAGCCAAAAAGAAACAAACATGAGAGGATCTGCTACACTAAACAGTATTTTTATTTCAAACAGAACAAGAACACAAAAGAAAATTTGAGAATAATACGATAATAGTGACTATTTCTAAACATCACACCACTCCTTTATCCATAACTAATCAACAAACTGGATGTTTTCACTCTGATAAACATAAAACCATTGCATTAGTACATATCCATCATTTTAAGATAAACATCAGTCTAACATAACCTTCCTTTAGCAAATATTTAATAACAATAATCAATTCTCGACCCCCACCAAAAATTAGACACTAAACTGAAAACGAAGAATTACCAGCTGAAAAAGCAGGTCATTCGACACCCCTTCAAACAAATACACCTTATCCACTAGAGAATAGAATAGATAATGCGAAATGCTCGAACGAATAGCTTTTGGAAGCGCATCAAGAGTTTCTTGCTGTTGCAAACCTTCCGAATCAGTTCTGTACTTGAGGCTCAAATGTGCTATCATCTGATCTTGCAAGTGAGGTGGAAGTTGGTTCCTTTTCGCAAAACCCGAGGCAGCATTAATTGTATCTCTCTGTATTTAAATATAATAATACTAAAAATTAAACTAGGAAAAATATGGAAAGAAGGTAGGCACTCAATTTTGATTTTTCTTTACTATACTTACGTATTTCCTAGTTCTGAACGTTGATTGAACGATTAAATTGGTCATGTTGCCTATAATATAGGCCGTGAGCCCCATAACGAAAAGTATGTAGAAAAAGTCGAAAACCATTTCCCCTGTGTTGACGGGATGAAGATCGCCATATCCAACAGTTGCGAGTGTGACGATTGACCAATACATTGCCATGAAATACTTATCCCAAAGAGGCTCTTGATGAAGATTGTCCATAGTTAGCCCCATCCACGTGTCCTTTGGGTCCTTGTGCCTGTCAGCAAGAAGGTAAAAGAAGCACGCAGCACAATGGACCGAAAAAAGAGTCACCTGCAATTAACAACACAATAATAAATAAATAAGCATTTTGAGATTAAAAAAAAAAAACACTTGTATCTCGAGATACTTACGCATGTAAATTTCGTGACTCGGACGAATGTGTAATTATAGTTCCTGTCTTTCTCCAATCTGCAATACATTTTGAGATATATTAACTAACCATTTTACCACCCAAATAAAAAAAAGAAAAATGGAAAAATATAAATATACCTCGCGAAGAATGTGCTGACTCTTCTAAGACGCCATAGGCGAAGGATGCTAAAGTAGCCGTATGACTCGACATTGGAAGGCAAGATTCTGTGGACGAGCTCGTAAGGTATTGTGGAAATAATATCAAAGGTAAGCCCTCGTTTTGCGTATCTCGAAGCAATCATCTTGTGAGAGTCAATGAGGAGGTAGGTTGACTTTTCGAGGTATGCGACGAAGAACGTCAGGACAATGTCGATGGCGAAGAATCCATTAACGACATTGTCAGTGATGGGAAGAACTCCTTTGGGACCTCTGAGGAAACCGAATTCGAAAGGGGACACCCACGCCGTGTAGAAGACAAGTATTACCAAAAAATTTTGCCAAGCTCTGCAAAATTTATTTATTAAAGCCTAGAAATTTAATAAATTGATAATAATATATATATATTTTTTTTTCAATGTGGTGTAATTACCTGTAGCGGGGATCAAAAGGGGAGATGATTGAACGACGTAGCTTGACCTTGTAATTATTACTTTGTTCGCCGAGGTGGGGCAGAATGCCATTGGAGAAGTTCATGGAGCTCAATTCGCCCATTGACGAGACTCTCTCCATTTTCAACAGTCGGCCATCGGATTCAATACTCGTTGGGCCCTCTGACGATGTTTTCTTCCCACTCAGAGATTTTCCCTTGCGCCTCATGATTCATTGATCATACAAAAGAAATTTATTCTNTATTTCCTTTTGAATCGTGCATGTTATTTAGGAAAAATTCTTTGGTGCCGTTGTGGTTTGTTAGGAACCATTCTGTTGAATTAGTAACCACTCTCCAATTGCCACATGTTTTTATTTTTATTTTTATTTGTATTTTTTTTTTCGAAATACACTTGATACATACTATTTGTGCTCACAAAGGATAAAAACCACCAGCCCGGCTTATCTGGCCTCCTAAAATAGTAAACAATTCAATCAAAACAAATTATTTTAGCTTTTGTTTTACCATTTGGTTTTTGACTTTAAATAAAAAAAGGATCATTAATATGGGATACCATATCAGTATAGTTAGGTCGATTATGACCTTAGAATGGTTCGACCGGATCGAGTAAACCAGCAAGTCAGTTAGAAAGCAAAGACGAGGCCGTGGAAAAACCAGGTCAACATTAACTTCAGAGGCAAAGTAGCTGACTGCGCGTCGCGACGCGCAGCGAATTATAAATTATTTTCCTTCACTAATCCCTACTAACTAGGAGTAGTGGAGAGTAATGGTTGATCCCACGAGGAGTGTGAATCAAATCGTGAATTTTTTCATATTAATTGAAATTATAAAAACCGATAAAAGAGTGGAAGATTGGATTTAATAACTAAACTACAAATGATATAATAATAGAAATAATACAAAAAAATAAAAATGAATATATAAAGAAAAATCTAGTTCACGGTTCCGTCTATGCCCTCATTCGACTAGTTTAACTATTTGTGACATCATGTTTCACTATTTTCCGAAATTACCAGCCATAGGTAACAACACGTTCTGCTACCCGAATTTTTCATTATAGTATATTTAGCTGAAACACGCTCCTCGGTTAAACCTAACTAATGGACAATCTAGAACACGCTCTCTAGATTCAGTGTTCTTCGGCTGTTGGATCGAGAATCAGTCAACAAAACAATTCGATTCCTCTGAAAGGCTGGTTCCAATGAACCGTCAGAATTGGATGATCGGACTGGCCAATTATATGTTTATATATATATATATTAAAATAAATTAATAAATATTCTTATACTTTTTAATATAATAAAATGTATAAATTTAAATATATTTGATATATATAAATTCAAATATATTTAAATATATTATTTATTAAAAATTAAATGGTAGTGAACTTTGCTAAAAGAAGATTTATTTTGGGGCCTTTTTACTACTTTTTACCTTTTTTTTTTTTAA